TATTTACTCAAATTGATGGGTTTGGATGATGGGGGAAACTCGTGTCACAGGCTCTTTAATGTTAATTGTTGATGAAAGGTTACTTACATTTTTTTCTTAATGTTCTAAAATTGTTTGGGGCCCCTGTCAGTCACGGGCCCTTAGAATCGTCTTAACCTTTCACCCCCTTACGGCGTCCCTGGACACAAGTGACGGTACGCATTTCAGATTACGCACATAACCTGCGTACCAGTTAGGTGCACCCCTGTACTACACGTACTACACTACAGCAAAAGTATTCTCCGTCGAGACTTCCTGCAACAACACCACGCCGTTATCTTGATTCTGATTGGCCAGAAGACATTATCAAAGATGTTCTATTGAGAAGACGATCACTACGTGACAAAAGTTTTCAAAACCGTTTCTAGTCTTCGGTATTTCCAGACAAGTGGCTACTGAAATCAATCTTACTAACTGCTGTCTGTGCAATTTACTCCGCGCGAGTTGGCGGACTTTATTTTGCTTACTTTAACATCATTTTTCATGGTGGGGCTAAGGTGGGGCTAAGCCATTTCTTGGTATGGGTGTATCCTACCCCAGCCATACCCTGGCGCTGCCACTGGTGGGATGTATGGGGCGGGCCATTCTGCACATGCCTTAAATGCGTTAAATATTTTAACGCAATTAATTCAAAAAATGAATTACCGCCGTTAACGCGATAATTTTGACAGCATTATTTTAAACATAAGATTCGAAGCCATACGGCGTGTTATGGGTATCATGCGTTCCACCATATGTGGATGTCGCTATGATTCATCGACACATCCATCAATAACATTAACATAGAGAAAATACAATATATAAATAAGATTAATATGCAAAATAGCTCAAAATAGTGTCGTTCTTCCATCTTACAGGGTGTAGGAGTTGGTGTTGGAAATCCAGTTCAACAACAACAACAAGGCACCTGGACGGCATCACCTCTGACCCAAAGAAAGGTAACGATGGCGGGGCAACAAGGAGCAGTAGCAGCAGCAGCAGCAGCAGCTCCAGCTGGACGAGGAGTCACCCCACAGCAGAACAGGGTATGTGAGGAACCGCTGCATGCTTTCCCCTGGGCAACACTGACAATATATCTATGTTAACAGTGTGGGGCTCTGAAATAAAAGATTAAAGATCTCAAGGCTTTTATTGTCATTCGTACAGAGCTGAAGTTATGTCGATCAAGAAACAGATCAAATAGTGCAAGTAAATACAATCATAAAAAAACAGTCACAGAAAGTTGACATCACAAAGAAAACCGTTGCCGGTAAAAGACAGAAAAATACACAGGAATGAGCAAAGACTGAAAATGTGATCTATGGATGGTGCAAATTCACATTGTGGTTACAACTTGAAATAATGACATCAATGGGATGATATTAAATCAAATAGAAACAGTTTAAGATGCATCAGAGTGCATTGAGAGACTGTTACCTAAAAGGTGAACAGATATATTTTGAGCTTTGCTTCCATAATGTCAGATAAGATTAACTTAATAATTGATCCCAAACTGGTAAATTATTTCCGTCCCATCAGCATGTTAAAACAACACAATGCACATCATTTGAAAAAGAATAGAAATATATACAAGGTGACGGTGAGAGACATGGGCACATTCACATTGTGATAACCACTTGAAATAAAGTCAGCGATGGGATGATATTAAATAATAACACAAACTGAGTGCATTGAGAAAGTGTGAGCTACCTAAAAGGTGAACAGATATATTTTGAGCTTATGAAGACTTCCATCGAGCATGCTTCCATAACGTAAGATAAGACTTTATTGATCCCAAATTGTGACCTTTTCTCCGTCACAGCGACCTGTTAAAACAACACATTTCACATCATTTGAAAAAGACTAGAAAATAGAAATATATACGAGGTGACGGTGAAAGATTTGGGCGTAATTGACGACGGCTGCCTCACCGGTGGAATACCGACGGAGCAGCAGCAGTGATAATAAGACAGGACAGTATGCCAGGTGCAGCAGTATATTGACAATTTGAGTGCAGTGTAACACGTGAGGGTAACATAAGGTCCCTCGGCCTCTTTCTACGCCTGTCAGCTGTCACAGAAACCAAACTCAGTGACGCTGAAAAGCTACGGCAGTCGGCACAACTCTTGCATGGCTCGTACGCTCCCCCGCCCCCAACACACACACAAAATATTCCCTTTCACTTCACTCTTTCCCTCCTCCTCCTCTGCAGAAGAAAACACATACCTCTCAAGCTCAAATGAAGATATGCCATGCATCATGTTTTGGCGTCAGTGTAGAGATATGATAAGTCAATCATGTGAGAGGGAAATCACACGCAGCGGGTTTTAAAACGTTCTTTGTGCGGAGTATAGCTCGTCTCCACACGGTTGAAAGGTTATTTATATAGCACCTTTCAACACAAGGCAATTCAAAGTAATGGTTTGTTTTAGATATTTGGAGCATTATAACTGAAAGCTTCTGTATCAATAACTCTTCAGTAAAGGGAACTGAGAACTTCCACATCAACGCTACCTGCAAAATAAATACCATAATTATTATTATTAATCTATAATAACGTGCAATTAAATATCTGCCACTACGTTATTTACATTAATTATGCGACCGTCTTTGTTTCCTTTAGATATTAAATTCTCTTTTTACTGCGCTGTTAGTGTACAGTTTTAATAATACAAATAATACATTTTATTTAAGGAGTCTTTCAAGGACACCGTACGATTTGTTAAATGTTCTAAGAGGTAAAAGCACAAACACACCATCATTGAGGAGACACTTAAAGTGGACACAAATGATTGGGAAAAGGTATTTTATTATTATGCTGCTGTGTTTATTGTATTTCTGTAACTCTGGCACAACTGTTTCCTTCAGGATGAATAAAGTCTTATCTTATTAACCCCTATCTTTCATATTGTGATATGATTTGATAGAACGTCTTTCCTGCATGTTTCTGGTAGTTAGTTCCAGATATTTGGAGCATAATAACTGAAAGAATGTAAAATCTTCTGTATCTCCGCCGCTTGCCGCCGCTTTTTCCTCCTCACCCTTCCCCCGATTTCATTTATTCTTTTTTTACCAAATGTGGGCGTTTTTTCTCACACTTTGCGTGGGGTGTAGGTGGTCGTTTCGGCACGGGGACGAGGGCGAGGGGTCGCTCCGGTTGGTCGAGGTCGGCCAATGTCCACGAGACAAAGTCCGAAAGCAGCCGAGACTGAACGCTGCACCGTTTCCATCGAAGGCCTTTCTTCTTCTACTACTGACGCACAACTGCAGAACCTCCTCAGATCCATCGGCCCCATAGAGGTAGGAACCGGGGTTTCCGTTAGGGGTGGGGGAAATAATCGATACCGCATAGTATCGAGATATTGTATCGATACGCGGACGCCAAGTATTGATATTTTATGATATAGACTGTAGCATATCCCTCCGAAAGATGGTCGTACACTTGACTGATGATTTCTCATTTATTGAAAACTCCAAAAATCAACGTAAGAGCTACAGCAAGACACACAAATATCTATGAGCAAGATCTGAGTACTTCTACTTTTACTCAAGTGCAAGATCTGAGTACTCCTACTTTTACTCAAGTACAAGATCTGAGTACTTCTACTTTTACTCAAGTACAAGATCTGAGTACTTCTACTTTTACTCAAGTACAAGATCTGAGTACTTTTACTCAAGTACAAGATCTGAGTACTTCTACTTTTACTCAAGTACAAGATCTGAGTACTTCTACTTTTACTCAAGTACAAGATCTGAGTACTTCTACTTTTACTCAAGAACAAGACCTGAGTACTTCTACTTTTACTCAAGTACAAGATCTGGTACTTTTACATAAGAACAAGATCTGAGTACTTCTACTTTTACTCAAGTACAAGATCTGAGTACTTCTACTTTTACTCAAGTACAAGATCTGAGTACTTCTACTTTTACTCAAGTACAAGATCTGAGTACTTCTACTTTTACTCAAGTACAAGATCTGAGTACTTCTACTTTTAGTCAAGTACAAGATCTGAGTACTTCTACTTTTACTCAAGTACAAGATCTGAGTACTTCTACTTTAACTCAAGAACAAGATCTGAGTACTTCTACTTTAACTCAAGAACAAGATCTGAGTACTTCTCCCACCTCTGAATATAAGTTATACAAGTGGAGTATTTGAGTATCTCTGACGGGTCAACAGGCGGCCACACTATCACCAAAATCCCAATATCTAAAAATACAGATGAATGTTTTCTGGGACAGCGGCGAAGTCCTGAAGAAAAGGACGTCGTCAATAACTCATTACGAATCATCTGCTCAACAGCGAGGCATCGAGAAAGACTGAGAGGATAAAGGGGAGTGGGAGGAAAGACAGAAAGAAGAGAGAGAAGTAAAGGCTTAAAGACGAGATAACAATAGAGAGTTCATGTGATGGTGCGTGGTCACATTGTGCCGGTTAACAAACTGCATTGTCTGGGAGAAAGATTGAAGGTGCAGGAGTCTGGACGGCAGATTGAAATCTACACCTACAGATATCAAACCCTAAAGATAGGAAGCACCCTGCCTGCATGTCACTAGGGCAAAATGTAGCACTCTATTTAAGAGGGAGCAATTAACTTCATTCCATTGATTGTGACAATATAATTACTTTTAGAATAATCAAAAACAATACGACTCGGACCAGAAGATTGGAAGCATCTAGTTTGAAGGCAGGGAACAGAAGGAGGAACACTTTCCATGTGACAGGCTTTTGAAATGTAATTGCTAAATAACAAAAGATTACATGAAAAGGAAAGTGAGATATAGATGCAGTCGATTTATAATCTGTCATACGTCTGCAATTAATACATATCCTAAAATACACTGTCCTAACTTTAGATATTATCAGTACCGTGCATGGACACTGGTGAGTGATACTGATCTGCTTCATTTCATGAATGCAGATAATGCAAAGATTAATGAAGATCCCCTTGAATAACCCAGGCATGAAAGAGGCCGGTCTGAGCTTCGTCTGAATATAAAAGTCAGTTTAGGAAAAAGGTCAGAAAAAAAAGTTCAGACATCCGAGAAGTCAGAACTTTGAAAAAAATGTAAGAAATCTGATAAAAGTCAGAAATCCGAAATACCGTAATTTTCGGACTATAAGCCGCGCCTTTTCTCCCATTTTTCGACGCTGCGGCTTATATAACGGTGCGGCTAATCTATGGATTTGTACAGCTAACGGCCACTAGGGGACCTCCTAAATCTATGGATTTTACAGGTTACAGTCCACTACCTTTAACTCTATGGGCTCTATGGCCGGTCCGCGCCCCCCACCTTTAAGCGGCGGGCTCCAGCAGGAAAAGCTGGAGGCCGGAAAAGAGTGAGACAGGTAGCGCGCAAAAATAAAAGTGGAACCGAGAGTGGTACGAGAGACAGAACGAGAGCAAGACAGACAGACATTACGAGAGCGAGCTGTCTCGCTCTCGTAATGTCTGTCTGTCTTGCTCTCGTTCTGTCTCTCGTACCACTCTCGGTTCCACTTTTATTTTTGCGCGCTACCTGTCTCACTCTTTTCCNAATGTGACGACAGAACTGTAAACAGAATAGCTGAAACTTTAACAAACTAAATAACTCAGTTACCTCTAATCATTAACCCATGTTTGTATAATGTAGTTAACTCTGTGTGTTGCTGCTAGCATACATCAGGCATGAAGACGGGTCAGGGGTGCAAAAGGTGAGAAGGATATTATCCCTCTAGGGGGGTCCGGGGGGTCCGGGGGCATGCTCCCCCGGAATTTTGAATATTCCATATTTTAAAGCATCAATCTGATGCATTTTGAGATGCATTTTTTTGCCAACCTGGGGAGAGCTGGAGAAACTTAACTTCAGCCATGAGTCAAAAATATTATGGCCTCCTTACTAAGTATTATGCAAGACATTTCATGCAAGCCTGTCACTGGGTCTAACATTTACAGTATATGAGGCACAATGTGGTAAGGGCTTAATGTATATGCAGATGGTGGACATGCTGTAACTTAACTTGTTTACTCTTCCATCATGACTGACAGCCAATACAATGTTATGTAATTCAGATTTTAATACATTTGATTAGATAGCCTAAAACACACAATACAGTGTTTTCCAGCATTATCAAAACATTAAACACTTTTCAGTATTATTCAATACATCCTTTGTACTGAAGTATTCAAAAGTACAAATTACATGTTTAATATAAATGATTTGCTGTGGCCAAATGTTTTCATTGCATTTACAGACCCTTGTAACTCTCTGATACCACCCAATGAATGCACTGACTTGCTTGTAGAACCACGCTACACAAAACAGATAGCAACACCTATAAAAACTATTTTTAAAAAAGAGGCTACTGTATCGACATTTTAAAATTATATTTAAAGAAAAGGCCGATTCTGTGAGCTTCAGCTGACCACGCCCCCCTGCAGGAGAGGGGAGCGTGCTCTGAGATCAGCTGCTGGGCTCTCAGAAGAAGGGGAGAAAAAGAGATCTCCCTCCTCCGTGTTTTATTCTTATAGAAGTAAGAAGAGAAGTAATGTGGCAGAAACCCTCCTTTTTACGCAGCGGTCCAGACATAGACATCAAACGGCGACACATATTCAGTTGACAGTTACTTTGGCATTAGGGCAGGGATATCTAGATACTTTCCAAGGTTTGAAATAATGAATTGTGCTACTTTGAACGCAAGCAACGATGTTTTCAAATCTGTAATCAAAAAGCTCCTCAACAACACTATCGAAGCAGTTCCTGCCGTTGCTACGTTAGTTCAAACAGTAACAACGGACTATTTTTCTTAACGGATGCATGTCAATTTAAATCAATACATACAACTATTTTTTAAATCAATAAAATCATTTTCTAAATCCATAAAAGCATTTCAAATAATATTGGGAGTCATGTCGTTACTTTGTTGAGAATGTGGCCGTGTAATAAGCGGGATAATGTGCACATTGCATAATGTGCCTTCATACCGATCTAGATCCCTACCGACAAAAAAAAGAACCGGCTCGTTCGCTGGCGCGAGCCGGCTCCCGTCGTTCACTTAAAGAGCCGGCTCTTGAGCCGGCTCGTTGCGACCGACACATCACTACCCCGCAGCATTCTCATCTGTTTGCCTTACTGGTGTCTTTTCTGGTTGCTAACGCCATTGTAACACGTATCACTGATGTTCGCGTGTAACGGTGGTAGACTCAGACAAGGGACCTTTATATCACTACCTGCATGTGTGTACTCTCATCTTAACCAGCGCCAAGCCTTGTGTGATTTGTGGGAAGGCACCGTATACATTTTGTACCGATATTCCACTTCCTCAAAGGATGCTCAATTACTTGGAGATCCCTAGACTTTTCCTGTAGCGCCATCATATAGATTAACCTTTTAGGTTTTAGAGCAAGGTTCTTGAATGGTGAGGCGCCTCACCAGAGTTTGCTAATCGTGATCTAACTTTGTAAGTTGTTTCCTGCTGAATTGGATGGATGTTCTGCATTTTGCAGTTATGTCTGTAGCAGAGGAACATCCCCCTTTGCCAATACCTCTGATTTTATCTTACCATCTTTGAGGTTGACATTTCTGGTTGACATATTTAAATAATTCTACTCCTGCTTGATCACTTAATGTTTTTTGCAACATACAACTTTTTTGCTTGAGTGAGTCTTTAATTCATTACTGATCCCCTGAGGTATTCAATCACAATGCAGTCACATGTATGTCTAATAGTCCTCAATAAAAGGCTTTAGTGAGATACCCCTACCCGAGTAGAAAAATGCACAATGATTTTTCTCATCTTTAGGGTTTTCCCATTAAATGAATTTGATTGTTATCTAAATTTATTTTGGGGAAAAACGTTTTTTGGGTTGTTCTTTAGAACTACCCCAATCCTATGAAAAGACAATTTGACCAGGCCGAATGTGGGAAAGGAGGAAGCCTCTTGGTGAAATCTTTTCCTCTTCATTCCTGGGCCTGACAGATCTACTCCTCTTCAGAATGGAAGAACCATTTTGGAACTCCAGCTCATTGATGCATAATGACGCGTAATTCCAGATTGCGTAACATTTTGAGGGACTTTAAACCTCGTAGCCAAGTAAAGCCTTTCCTAGTATCATGGCAGCCTATTTGAAGAAGTGATTTTTGGTTGTGTGATTATTTTTTTGTGTCACAGTGTTATTTTGTTCATTGTATAAAACCATTTATTCTTTCCCCTATATAGTATTCTATACTATATATATATATATATGGCATCTTTGATACAGGGGCCAGAGAGAGACCTGAGTAGGACGGCAGTACCTCTCATGGGACTTAGTGATTTCAGCCCTATTCCCACCCCCCAAGCCGGCCTTGTTTCCTCTGCCAAACCCCCTCTCCATCCCCTCCGTGTCTCTTCTCCACCCTCCTTCCCCTCTCAAGGGCCCACAACCCAACTGGTGTTCCAGCAACTGCGTACAAGTTCTTCCTAGTCCACTGTATTATTATCTATACACGAGACCGTCTCAGATTACAAAATTGGAAGC